TGCATTAATCTTGCACTAATCAAGGATATGCATTTAATCACACTTTTACTCCTGCTACTCCTCAGTGAAAGTCTAATTCCTTTTTTGGATGAAATAACAGTTGCAGTTTGGACATACTGACATTGACCCACTATACTTTTGGTCTGGCTCAGAGAACATCCTGTAGCTTTACAACCTTCCCTCATGTGCTAATGATGAGTAACTCCTCACCTCACTGGAACTCTAGATTCTGAAGAAACAGGTTTCACAGTCGACTGACGCAAGACAGCAGGGGTCACTGGTCCACTAATATGTCTTTAAAAATAGCTGAACTAATGTTGTTCTGATTTTATTCTGTCATAGAGTACAGTTTTCCTCTCTCTCTGGTTCAGCATGACAAACAGACTGTCTGTTCTGTCCATTGTCAACAATGAGAGCACACCTGCACCTTAGACAAACAGAAGCGGGTGTCTGCATGGATACTCTCTACCTAACCAAGAGCTGAGTCACTCTATCAACAAGCCATCAGACTGTAACAGATGGAAACCGAGTGAAGAGGAAGTTCTGAAAACCTGAATAAATGCTCATTCATTATAGATAATGTGATATTATAACATCGCATTAAAAGAAGAGATACATAGATTGAGATAGAGTTTGAGAACTTGTAGAGATCATGATAAAATGCCATGGAAACTTGAGAGAGATTTTGAAAAGACTGATTTTTTTAATTTATTTATTACAAAACACTTTCAAATAAATCTGAATGAAAATTAAATACATTATTTTAATATATTACTCTAATATGGAGAAAGTATATGCTGTAAATGAATAAAAAAGCAAATATTTACCAAAAAGTATGTTAAAATTTGTTTTGAATTTAGTACAGTGACAGCTAATTAGAATCAATTTTATTAGAATAAAATTCTATAATTTTGAAAATAACATCTTTATAATATTCTTCTTAATATTTTTTTTTAATTTTAAGTTGTACACTACTTTCTGAAAGTTTAAGGTTAGTTAGGAAAAAAACATATACATATATATATTCTTAAAGGGGTCATATGATGCGATTTCAAGTTTTCCTTTCTCTTTGGAGTGTTACAAACTGTTCGTGAATTGATAAGATCCCTAAAGTTGCAAAGACTAAAGTCTCAAACCCAAAGAGATATTCTTTATAAAAGTTAAGACTCGTCCACGCCCTCCCAAAATGGCTCGTTCAAACACACCCCCACATGTCTACGTCACGATGTGGGAAGATTTGCATAACGCCGCCCAAATGTTCACGCAAAGAAAGAAGGCGTAACTTTGATTCTCGCTGTAGTATTGTTGCCACCGCCGTCATGTCGTGGAGACGCTGTGTTTGGTTGTGAAAGCGAAACCACTTTGTTTGGCCTTCCAAAAGAGGACACAACTAGAAATCAGTGGTTAAGTTGTATTTAGTTGCCATTAGCTTGGCATTGAAAATGGTCAACATGTGACCGAAACATTTGCCTTGTTTTTACTCATTAATTAGCCTTTATTGCTTTCATCTTGCTTGTGACTCTTTGATGTTTGAGTGTGCAGACTTTTTTAAAGCTTTTCACCTTTGGGAAACTTTTTTGGTCTACGCACCTCAGTTGGATTGTTTTGAAGGCTCTCTGGCTGCTTCTAAGTTGTATTTACAACACTGTTCCAGAACAGTTCAAACCAAATAT